CCTCATATTGATGTTGGTCCATTGGACATGAAACATCTCGGCAAAAATGTGGGTGAGTGACTTTAATTTTAAACCGCAATATTCCAGCTATATGGCTGCGGTCTGTAAATAATCGAGTCTGGACCAGACAATCCAGTGACCAACAGCATGAGCATCCATCTACGTATTTGGGAACCGATGAGATGAGTCAACCCAGTCAGTGAGCCTGACCACCCGATCCCGCTAGTCGCCTCTTACGATAAGCATGGGTTGCAGAAGATCAATACTAACCCTGTCTTCACGGGTCTCATGAGACGGGGCTCGTCTCATAAAGTACATGTTATAACGTGTCTATGTAGTGTGGGCGAACCCAATACCAACGAATCCTAACTTTCTAGTACGAGACAAACTAACCAGAACATTAACAGCAGTTTACATCAACAAATTAGTTACTGCCCCATATCGATGTAGTTTCATTGGACATGAAACAGTTTGGCAAAAATGTCTAACAAAGTACAAGTTGCAACACGCGCAAGTGGTGTTGGCGGAATGCGTATTGTAATAGGAACAGGCGTTTTGTTACAGCAATACGTCTCCACAAGCTGCGAATATCGTTAACCGTGTCAGCTGCCGACCCATAACCGGAAATGCCAGTGCGCATGTAATTCTATTGTGAATGTTTTCCGGAGCCATGGCGGAAGCGGTGACTCTGATCTGTCGGAATCGCTTCCATACATAATTACAAAAAATACGATTTTCTTCTAAAAAAACTTTTCAATCAACAGGCGTTTCTTAGTCTATAACAAAATTCACTTAGTTGTGTCAAAATCCGGTATTAAGCTATGAGAATGGCAATTCACCAGAATCGTGCAGTTAACACACGGATAACTCTTTTATGATTTCCTCTATCAAGCGCCGTTCTCACTGTCACGTGACCCAGACAATGACACATCAATGTCCCGGATGACGTTTTCAGGCACTACAGGATTATGGAAACACGTCTCCTAAGGCTGGACCGCATTGCTGTTTTTTTCCAATCTTAACATGAAAGTGGCCCTGCAGGGCAAATGCAAATTTAGACAAGAAAATCAGTGGCCTGTCGTAATTTTTAAAGGTTGAAAATTGAAATAGGTTTTAACGGCTTAGAATCAATATTGATCCATCGATAGTGTCGTGTTTCTCAAGACAGGCCCGCATACGGATCTGCACGTGTCTTGTGTTAAAATGGCGGTTGTCTGATCTTTGAATCCTTTTACATTACGACAAAAAGAACGAGAAATACAGTAATTGTACGAAAACACGAATGAATAATGCGTGTTGTGGTGATGTAAAGATCGCTGTCAATTTGATGAAGCAAAATCAATGATCTCTCTGAGGGCACCATCAGTAAATTAGAATTATACTCTTCAAAACGTTTGGGAGATTAGAGGAAATTTCCCAAATTACTCAGATTATATTTTTAGAAATTCCAAATTTGAAAGGTATATTAGCATCTAGTATGGTGATAATGAAAGAATTTGGAACGCATTAGTTATGTGAAATATGGGGTTCGAGAATGTTTGCGAAATTATATTTCAATAAATTCCAAAATTGAAAGGTATATTCGCATTAAGTATAGTAAGGATGAACAATTGGGAACGCATTAGTTATGTGGAATATGACTGTCGACGTCATGACTGCATACGATGTTGAGGGTAAACATTGTCAATTTTGTTGACGTTCCTGATCTGTGTGTGTCAAACCGCCTCGATTTGTCAAACAATCATTCACCTGAAAAGGTATGCCGTGTAATGAGTCGCCATATGGCGACTTGACAAAGCCTATCCCACTCTTCTTGCAGCGCTTGTCCAACTTCACCAAACGTGTTCGGCGGCTTATGACGTTGGCGCTCACGTCACTCTCCGTATTGTCAAAGACGTGTTCACTGGGGAAACAGTCTGGGTTTAGACGTGGCATTCTATGGATGCTATGCCTCTGCGGCTGGACATGAACATCCATGAACAGTGAGGCAAACCGTCGACAATTCTTGCGAACGGAGCAACAAAGGGTGTCAGTATGTTATCCGGATAGTACTGTCCAGTGACCCTTACTAGCACAATAAGGAGTTGGGTTCGCTCAGTCATAGTGAAGCCATCCCACCTCATTACCTATCCACTGCCAAATCTGTCATTAGGTCTGAAGTTCGACTCAAAATGAACCAGGAATCACCGACACGTGACTAGTAAAGATTACCCAAGTTTCCACGTTGTGCATATCGTGGACGCCTGTTGGCACAACACGTTGCCTTCGATCTCTAATCGTCTGACCCGTAGCTGGTATTTCAGGACCTTGACGAAAGTTTGCAGCCATTTGGTTCGACCTTTGAGCTCGATTTCGTAGAGTCTTCATTTCGTATCGTGAACTCTTGTCGTTGACATGGAATACCCTGAATGGGGTCGTACATCAACATATTTGGTTTGCTGTTCCATAGTCTGTAAATCACAGACAGTAAGGCACTGGTCACTGCAGGCTGACCACTATCAGCTTTCAGCATGCCAACAGTCCGAATCGATGACATCAGACGCAGCATTGCTTGTTATTACACGAAAAAATAAATGAAAATTATTCAGAACTGACTGATAAACAGAATCTTGGTAGAAGATTCTTGGTAGAAATGGTAGAAGAATGATCCACTACTCAGCCGTTAAAATGACACAATCCGGACATGTGTAGTCCATTGCGTGTGCCACGTGATACCTGTGATACGTGATACCATGTTTTGGTATGCAATTTAACATACATAACGTTCTTGCTCAGGTGTTTTGTCGGTAACACAATTCTATATTCCAATCCTTTGTGTCTCAAAATGAAATTTAAAAAAATATTCTCTGAAAAATTCAACATTTCATTTTTTTACCCCAAAATAGGACTCCGCATAACATTATTTGACCTTTCTAACCCATTTATTAGTAGTACCTTGTGGTCTCTTTGAAAAAATATATATAAAGATAAATTTGTGTCTCAATATGAAATTTAAAAAATTATTTACTGAAAATTTCGATTTCTCAACTTTTTACCCCCCAAAATAGGACTTAGCATCATATTTCAAGGGAGGACCCTTTAGTACTCATTAGTTATAACTTAAAGATGCTGAAAACGCTCAAATATATTCTGTACCAATTCTTTTGAGGTTTTGTCACATTTTGACTGGACTATTGGCATCACCACGTATATTTGATGATCCCATTGTTTTTTCGAAGAATATAATTGAGTATACAAATATGTCGTCTTGTAACAGTCTTGTAAGTCTTAGAGCATTTAAATTCAAATTTCTTTTCTTTCAGTATGCGTCGTTTGCTGATGAAAATAAAACGATTAAAATTATATATAACGTCAAAATCGCATATAAAATCAATAACCCACAGATATATTTTTATAACAAGGAGTTCAGTTTGTTAATTTATGAAAGAATGTAACATGTATTTGGATGGCATGGACTCTTTTTCCATATCATGGGACCAGTCAGTAAATGACACCTAAGACCAATCTCACCGTCCCCAACCCGGGCCCCAAGCTATATCCACCATCGCTCACCACCAGTCGCTAATCCGGATTTCTTTATTGATCCCTACTGGATGAGAAACATCAGGATTAACGGAATTGTTACGTATGACATTTGTTCCCGGATAGGCTTACAAAACAAGTAGATAATGTTTCAGTCTAGCCTAATGCCAATCGGTCTCTATGCTGTAACTGCGAAGACATTGACGTCATAGCTGTGTTATTTCAGGCAATATTGAGACCATATGACGTACGACAGATATTACTCAAAGTCAAATATATTTAAACAAACATCTTCTGATTGAACTTTTACAGTTCTCAAACATGATTTGTCAGTTTAATGTTCCATTTCTTAAATATAAAGGTCTGAATAAAATAAAGAGAAGCATAACAATATGACGTCATGACTTCTTTGAGAGGCATTTGGAGTGAATGAGTGAGTGAGTATGGTTTTACGCTGCTTTTAGCAATATTCCAGCAACACCACGGCGGGGGACACCAGAAATGGGCTTCACACATTGTACCCATGTGGGGAATCGAACCCGGGCCTTTGGCGTGACGAGCGAACACTTTAACCACTCGGCTACCCTACAGCCCTTGTAGTCAGAAAGGATAAGACATGTGGAGGAACATTTTTGTGTTCATCAGTTATTTGATAACGGTGTTAGCAGCTACACCGACACGTCGCTCCTCATTGCAATAAAGAAGTTGTTCTTCCATACATCTAGTTTTCCTTATGACGTCACCACTTGTTTATAGCGTTACCGTCGTCATGAAAAGAAAAAGGTTGATCTTAATGACATCTGCTGGTGTGCTGACAATTCAAATATTCCTCATCTTAAAATGACAATGAATAGATCTACTCGAAAATCGCAATTAATGACAACATGAAATACAATATCACAAAACGAATGTAACAGAATATTAAATAATCGTAAAATGAATGTAATAGAATTATCATAAAAGAAAATACATTATTGAATTATCGTAAAATGAATGCAATAGGATTATCATAAAAGAAAATACATTATTGAATTATCGTAAAATGGTCAATGCAATAGGATTATCAATAAAAGAAAATACATTATTGAATTATCGTAAAATGGTCAATGCAATAGGATTATCAATAACAAGAGGTGAGGTGAAATGGGGTTTAACGTCACACTTATTTCGCTCATATGACGGCGTGCATGCGTGTGTATATGTGTCTGCTTGTACTAGCCCAGACATAAGCTGGTTTTATAGTGCGCAGTTAAGCATGAATACCCAACTCAGACACATTATACTAACTTCGAGCCGACCAGTCCTTGTACCCATTAATGCCGAGCGCCAGGCAGGGACCAACAAGTACCACATTTTAACGTCTTTTGGTATGACGCGGTCGGGGATCGAACCCGCGACCTTCGCCTCTCCGGGCGAACACTCTAATATGAAGAAAATTAATATGAATTCAATATAAGGTATCCCGTAGATGTACTCACTCATTGATAATGGGATATGTGATAGCTAGGAGGTTATAGGTCTGGAGCGGGAGCCAGCATAACACAAACAGGCACACCACGATGATCAGCATCTTCACCACCTGAAACAAAGGGAGACAACTATCAGACACAAGGGGAGATAACTCCTATAGGATCGTTACATATTTTATGTTTTGTTTGTTTTCAACGTCAAACTCAGCAATATTCCAGCTATATGACGGCGGTCTGGAATCGCATTTAGAAAACGATGACATGCAATGGGCCATCGGGTCTGGACCAGACAATCCAGTGATCAACAGCATGAGCATCGATCTTCGCAATTGGGATACGATGGCATGTGTCAACCAAGTTAGCGAGCCTGACCACCCGATCCCGTTAGTCGCCTCTCACAACTACCGATTCTAATCCGTATCTTCACGGTTTACATACATTATGAAGAAGAATATTGCGAGATATCGACAATAATAATTAAGATGTAAGAATTAATCTTTTCAAAATGAATGAAAATATGTCGAACATCTACAAAACACGCATACACATGTATATACATATAAAAATAAGTTAAATCCAGGTTAGGTATAACGCGTTTCTGCAGAAAGAATGTATTGAATTTCATTCACCGATGATATAACACGAAACATGGTTATTACATAAATAGTAGCTGGTATTTTAATATACTGTGATAGTTTTAATGGTTTTAATGACAATAAAAATATATTACATCTTATCCATCCCTAATGTGTGTTTTATTGCTTCCAAGACCTGCCATTTTATGTATGCATAAGCGTATGTATAGAATGCCTAATTCAGCTTTATATGCTATGTGCTTATATTTATTTATTATAACATTTATCGTTTTATACAATATTTTTTTATCTTTGTGTACATTATACAGAACTTAGTCTCTCATAACTCCTTATAGGAGTGGGGCGGTGGGGTAGCCTTGTGGTTAAAGCGTTGGCTCGTCACGCCGAGGATCCGGGTTCGATTCCCCACATGGGCGCAATGTGTTAAGCCCATTTCTGGTGTCCCCCGCCGTGATATTGCTGGAATATTGCTAAAAGCGGCGTAAAACTAAACTCAGTCAGTCAGTCCTTATAGCAGTAGCTAAACCTTTATTGCTTTTTTGCACTGTATCTATTTCATATTGAGGTTAATAAAGAATCTGTCAGTCATTCTATAAAATGTCAACCTCAGATCCCGTTCGTCGCATGGGTTGCTGAAGACCACTGGTCCAATGGTGCCAGCAGAAGGGGGTCATTATTCGGTAGTGGGTGAATGGATATCAGCACAGCAATATTATGTCAAGGATACGAGAAATGGACTGCATGCATTGTAACCAAATGGGGAATCGAAACTGGGTTTGTCGTGACAAGCCAACGCTTTAACCACATGGCTACCCAATCTCCCAGGTAGACAGAGAATTTCTGTAAATACCAGGGTTCGTTAACACAAGCCATTCTGGAATCTTGCCAAAACACAAATGAAATGAAATTACAAGCTAACGAATAGTGAAGCACATTAACAAGATATTCCCCGAGTGAGATCATACAGGGCTGTAAAATTAATTTACATTTATTTGAGTATTGCCTAACAGACAACACTATCGGCCTCAGCGACACTTCAGCAACCCCGATGTAGTCAGGCAGTCTCCCTGTATTATACTCAACACAGAAAATAACTTCAGAGCGAGTTCAATTCTCTCTGACACCCAGGTCAATATGGACAAGTTTCAAATTTGAAAATATTATTAAAAGTCTGGATCTTCGAGAGCCTGTGGATTCTTCGTTTTTAAGTACACAGTGAATGGCCCCATTTCAGATTGGTTATTACAAATTGCCACAGATATTGATAAACCGTTTGACGGGGTAGTTTGCTTTTACGTTCTGACTGTATAAACTTGGTGGAACATTGAAGAAATTTGGCGGGGAGCTTTTTTTACGGTCTGATTCTTCCCTTGGACAAAAACTGAAAATAAATTGATTTTCGTGAAACGGTCATATTGGAAACGACATCTTGTCATCAGAAAAAAATCCTGAAAATATCGTTTTTGAAAGCAGTCGCCCAATTATCTTCTGTTCATGAAGCAGTAACCAGTATTTTTGATGCAAAAACATTGTCAAGAAGCTTGGTCATTGGAGAAACGAAATTCTAAATAAATAAATAAATATTTTGCTGATGTCTTAATACTGACTGTGTTCTGCAAAATGAAATCACGTTAATGTTTATTGTGAAAACTTATATTGTAAGCCTAGAAATTGATCGTAAAAGGCTGTCATTGACCAGAATAAATATTGGTATTGGAATATATGCCTTTCAAGGCAGAAATGTCAGAAAAACATAATTATATGTAAACACGAAACTTAAAGTGTGACTTACAAGATAATGTGTGTAACTATTCCGGGAAGCTGACGAAATAATGAATTCAACAAATAATGGGTTTAAACGCTCTCAACAGGGCAGCGTCCCTAAGCCTCGTCGTGATCGATGATTTCACAAAACACTCAAACAGCCCTTGCCTCTGCTTGTAGCAGATATTGTGGCTATGGAAAGGGATCTGTAGCTTTCATTTCCACCAAAATATAAACGTCTAAGCTTGGTTCCAACACGAAAGGTGACAAAACTGTAATACTCTTTCAAGTTTAAGTTGGAGTTCAAGCACGCGTTTACACATTCAGCCCATGATAGTCAGGTTCCTGAGGACGTTTTCAGTTTAAAAAAGACATTTTGTAAGTGAGTCAGTGAGTTTAGTTTTACGCCGCACTCAGCAATATTCCAGCTATATGGCGGCGGTCTGTACATAATAGAGTCTGGACCAGACAATCCAGTGATCAACATCATGAGTATTGATCTGCGCAATTGGGAACCGATGACATGTGTCAACCAAGTCAGCGAGCCTGACCACCGATCCCGTTAGTCGCCTCTTACGACAAGCATGGGTTATTGAAGATCAATTCTAACCCGGACCTTCACGGGTTGACATTTTATAAAGAAGTAGGATAATTACATGGACACATAGTATATTGCGACACCTAGTTATTCCGGAATGGCCATCCGAATGATTACTGTTATGGATCGTCTTTCCAACAACATCAGGTGAATCTGGTGCCACTGGTGTGCCTATAGGACACTGATTTATGTAGCTGTAATGACCCAACAAATAGTGTTGACAACTTGTTTGGGTATTGCAGTAACACGAGCTCCCGTTACCCGTGAAGATCCGGGTTAATCCTTGATCTTCTGCAACTAAGGCTTGTCGTAAGAGGCGACTTATGGGATCGGGTGGTCAGACACGAGTATTTTCAGACCCCCGCCATTTAGCAGGCATATTGCCTAGCGCGGCATTACACTAAAACAACCCGATGTCTCTGGACGTATTCCATTAACAATTTTTGGAGGAACTGTAATATTTAGACACAAAACAAGGAAACACCCTGCTTGACCAGATTGGTACCTTTAATAACGTGTAATGGTTTAATCAACAGAGTTCACATAGTAATATTAATCCATTTGTACATAAACAACATGTAATCAATTTTAATTAACTAGTTCTAAAACGGCTTTCAAAGTTCGAGAGAGAACACGTATTTACCCTTAGTAAGTAAGACAGGCACATTTTGTTAGAGGAAACAGAAGTTGCTTAGCCAAATCTATTCGTTTCAGCCTGCTTGATGTCAGTGAGATGATTAGAGATTAGACATGGTAAAATAAGTCCTGAAACTTAATATCAAAGAACCAACGCCGTGTCTTATCAACCCATCAACATCAGAGAAGCAAAAACATGACATCACAGTCTGGTTCCAAATACACGTGTTGGATTGCTGCTGTCGTGATCAGTTTGTTGCGAGTCTATCAACAAACTAAACTAATTCAAACGGTTTGTTCGTACAAAAAGCGAAACCACATGCTATAAAAAGCAACATAAGTGTTTGTTAAAAGTAAAATTTGACTGATGTAATAAACTTTAAAGTAAAATTGCTATATTCAAAGACCTTATTTTTTACAGTCAGCTCTCTAAGTGCAGCTGTGGTCTGACTCAAAATATTGATAAGTCGAGAAAGCTGGATAAACAAGGCGATGAACAGATCTGTAGGTCTTCCTAACTACTTGAGTTTAACACCGGTGCACGTGAAGATCCGGGTGAGAAATCGTCTTCAGCAACCTATGCTTGTCATAAGAGACGACTAACGGGATCGGGTGGTCAGGCTCGCTGACTCGGTTGATTCATGTCATCGTATACCGATTGCGTGGATCGATGTTCATGATGTTGATCACTGGATTGTGTGGTCCAGATTCTTTTTTTTACAAGCTGGGATAATACTGAGTGCGGCGTTAAATAACTGATCTTTTCACGGTTACTTTTACTGACACTGTCACTTATTATGTTGTTAAAACTGAATTGAAGCTGTCACCAACACTGTCATTAATACTGACACTGTATCTAACACTGTCTAACACAGGCACTGTCGCTTATACTGTTCATAGCCCTACCTTCTTACAATCTACAATCAGTTGGTAAGCGGTGACAGGACCATAAGGAGACCTCGAGAATATCCGAGATGAAACGTTCCATGCGAGAAAGTGAGTGAGTGAGAGTTTAATTTTACGCCGCTTTTAGCAATAATCCAGCAACATCACGGCGGGGGACAACAGATATGGGCTTCACACATTGTACCCATATGGGAATCGAACCCGGTCTTCGGCGTGACGAGCGAACGCTTTTACCATCAGGCTACTCCACCGCCCCGTTCCATGCGAGAATTGCCTGTGTAAGCATACTTCTCTGTTTCCCTATCTTTCAAACCTCGGACTAATTGCCTTCATTTTCGAGGGGTAAGGAAATACCGCCAAAGACATATCGTTTGACAGCAAATTGCGTCAAAAAGCACAGCCGATTCGTGAAAAATGTTAAAAGTTTGAGACAAGCCATCTTTCTGTAGAAATCAGTTCTGACCTCTAGAAGCTCCAGGTTAGCACGACAATCCATCAATGGCTTCAGTGCACTAAAGGGCATGATTTAAAAACTTTGTTTTTCATGATACAAAGTGGGATGTATTAAGGAGAAGAGGGGAAATACCAAAGGGTTAGAGTTGATACCATA